TATAATTACTTAAAAATTCTGTGTCTGATGCCACCTCTCTCTCAAACACCTGAAGGAGGAGCCAGGCTCCGAAAGCTTCTGTTTTCAAATAAACCTGTTGGGCTATAACATAGTATTGTGTGATTTCTGACCATGAGTGGCTCTCAACTTCCTTCACCAGCATGTGGGGAAGATCAATGTAATGTTTTTACTGTGTCCATCACAATCTTCACTCCTTTGACACTCAATTGAGTCTTGTTGCTTGGCCCCTCAGGTTGGCCTTCACCTGTTTGACATTGAGCTGAGCATCAACCTTTACGTTATCTCCACCACCAGCATTACTTTCATGTGATGCTGCCCGGCTTTGTCTACAGTATAACACTTCAACTACTAAAACTCCATACAATACTTTGTCACTTCCAGGCTAATTTAACCCTGTATTCTTGTTGGCTTTCCATATAGTTCAACATCGGTATTGAAATCCTTTCTGCTTGAAGCTCCTTTGCCCATCACTCCTACTGTCATGAACCATGTTTGTTCTTTGTCCTCCAGCATATTAAGGTTGCAGATTTCACCTTCAGATTTTTGCACAGTCTTTCATCTAGCCTCTGCAATCTTCTGCATATTCTCCTGCATTGTAACTTCAAAACCATTTCATTAGCTGTAAAAAGACTTTGTGAATTCCTGAAGCCATGAAAGGAGATGTATAACTGCAAATCTTTTAGCCTTTGGATTCAACTCCTGTGCAAACTCCCCCACTTTCGCAATAGACCTTTTAGCTGCCTAGACCCAGCTCTCCAGCATTTCTTGTATAAACCCGTTTTTCTACTTCCCTCTCTTTAAAAGCCTTCTCAAACCCGCACTATTTTCCAGGTCTCCTAAATGTTCCCTTGATTCAGCATTCTCTTCTTCAACCACAGAATTATAAACAGCCTTGCAATGTTTTATACACTAACTGTCAGTTTAAATATTACATGCTAGTCATTTTGGTTGGCAACACTTGTCCCTGATGCTGTGTAGCTGGGAGTTGCTATGTAAGCATTCAGTAGTAGATATGCCTAACATTTGCACTGGACAAGCTGTTTTGTTGTACAGAATTTGGTGTACTACCATTAATCAGGCACTTGGTTACACAGCACCAACTTGAACTGGTTTCTGTGCACAGTCAGACTTGGCACTTCGTGATCTTTACCACTTGACTAATCTCTTGGTAGACTTGAAAAGTGATCAGGAATTCCCGTTCTGTTGGTTGCTTGTTTCAGAGCAGCAATGGCCTTGGGACAATTCTGTAACTGTAGTGTGGTTGTTAGAGGTTTGTAGCATGAGATAACCCAGGGGTAATTGAAATATCTGCAATTATGGCAAAATATTCTGTTTCTATGTAATGATCCACCTCGATAGTTTACTTTATGACAGAATTTCAAAGATATACAACCCATAAAATTCAGGCCATTTGTGTCATAATGGTTTTCTGGTCTGCAGGCAACTTCCCCGCTCCCCCCGCAATTCCATTTATTTAATCTAATCCTAATTAATGTCTTTCTCCCTCCTCATGTACATAAATAACTTCTCCTTAAATGTGCTGTTTGCCTCAGTTTTTCCTTGCAGTTTCAAATTTGACCTACCAGATGATCATTCCCCACTATCAGTTTCTCCCCTCCCATTCCCAGTCTCCCTCAAGGTTTAGGATGTTTTTTTCTCAGAAATTGGAACCGCTTGTTGTTGGGAAAGGATGGATGAAGGGGTTGTGTTGCCCATCCTGTCAGTGAAAGGATGCTACGTGTTCTCTTTTCAGGACCTGTGGATTCCTTACTTCAATATCACCACAGATATAACTGCGTCTGCCATGCGGGTTCATACTGATGGTGAGTACACTTTGATACTCTGAACTGTCCTGCTTGCGGCACCTAATTTGTCTAGTTTGTGAGCAGTGGTAATTGTACCCACCTAACGAGGGAGATGCTGTTGAATCACTAACACGGGAGATTTCAACCTCCACTCTCAGCATTGTGAAAAATTAATACTCATTTTGGGAACTCCACCTCAAATGATTTGGCACCTCATGGTCTTGAGCAGGTGGATGTCTCTGTACTGCCGCTAATCTGATCGCATTGATCAGTGCACGCCCTGGTGGAAAATGTCCCAGGAAACTGTTACTTCTCAGTGAGGACCTTTGTTGAAATACTTTGTTACTTCATTTCTGTGAAATTCAATTTTTAAAAAATTTTAAATCCTGTTTTAATTTGCTCATCGAAGTATGCACTCACAATCCCCACTCTCCAAATTTCTGTTATTCTGGATAGAGGATTGGCTAACTAATACAAGATGTATTTGGGATAAGGACACCATTTTTAGAATGGCAGCCTGTAGCTAGTGGTGGGCTACGAGGATCAGTGCTGGGGCCACGATCATTGATAGCATGTATTAATGAGTTAGATGAGGGAAATTAATATACCGTTGCCAAGTTTGCAGGTGACGCAAAAATAAGTGGAAGGGCACTTGGTGAAGATGACATAGGTCGGCAAAGGGATATTGATATAACTGAGCGGGCAAAAACTTGACAGATGGAATATAATGTGGGAAAATGTAATGTTGGTCACATTTATATGTGAAAGTATGCACTTTGGCAGAAATAATAAGGGAGATGAATATTATTTAAATGGAGAAAGACTGCAGAAAGCTACAGAAGAGAGGATTTGGGAGTTCTTGTGCATGAATCAATAAAAGCTAGCACCCAAGCTCTTCAGCTAATAGGGGAGGCATATGGTATGTTGGCCTTTATTTCAAAAAGTAAAACTAAAGAGGTTTTGCTAAAACTAAACAATGCACTAGTCAGACTATAGCTGGAATCCTATGTATGGCTTTGGTCCCCTTATCTAAGAAAAGATATACTTCTTCGGAACTCAGACGTTTTGAAGAAAAGTCACTTTGGCCTCAAAACATTAACTCTGTTGTTCTGTATATAGATGATACCAGACCTGCTACGTTTCTCCAGTATTTTCTGTTTTTATTGCTTTGGAATTTTGTCAGTTTGGGATTTTAAACCAGCTCACTAGTTTGGTGACTATTTCTAATAACTGTACTTAACATGAATTACTATTTATTACAAGTAAATAGCTTGTATCTACAGGTAAACAATTAATGAGCCATCGGCATATAACTCTACCAGTTAAAGCTCTACTCCTTTATATATATATATACATACACAGGAAAAAGAAGTTGTTTTGGTTGGAGGGAAAGATGGGAAAAGAACTTCAGTGGCTCCTATTCACAGGATCTACTGAGATGGCCCTTGAGCTGCTGTTTGGCCATCCTTCCCTGGATACTTGCACTTGTTTACATGAGTTCCACTGTAACTGGTTCACGTTTATAAAAGGTCTGTATTATTCATCAAATGTCCAAACTTACAGCAACTGACAGAGGAAAGATAAGCTGGTTTACTTCAGTCTTAATATAGCTTTGACTGTAGGGAACAGAGAGAGCTCCTGAGCTGGTGGTGGCTTGTAAGCTTCTTACTAGCCTTTTCACATCACCAAGCTGTCAGTCACATGAGAACCAATTGTTGCCAATAACTGGTCACTCGTTCACAGACCAATCAGCTGCTCGTTGCCAGCCAAATCTCCGTCTGACACACTCTTAGCTCCAGCTTGTCTACACCTTCTACTCCTGTGTGAACCAGCAGCTGTGGAAACAGTGCTCACAATGACTGTCAGATTACTTGCTTTCAGAAACATGCAGTAATCCTCCAGCAATCCCACATCCTTGGCTTCAAAGCATTTCTTTACCCATTTCCAACTACAATTAAAAATACTGAAAAATAAAATGATAAGTTTTTTCACAGTTTAGTTGAACATAACTGCAAGCTTAATTGGAACTTGTATAGTTCTCCAATGTCTCTTAAAATCGAAAAGGCCCTTTTATAGAATTGACAAAATGGGGCTACGGCAAAAGTTGGTCTGTGTAAATGTTTTCAGGAAGACTTTTCAAATGATCCCCCGGGTGCCACAGTTGATAAATGCATCAAGCATGTGGAAATCCCAGGTTTGTTTCTTGACCTGTTCTGAGCTAACTTACCTCAGCTGGAGCATGGTTGGCCCACCTCACCGGGCATTGCTAGATTCAGAGAAGGAAGAGGATGCAGCCACCGTATGTATTCCTGATCTGGAACCAGTGATGTCTGCTAATAAGGATTTTTGTGGGACATCAAGTGAAAATTGCATTGAGCCCAAATTTGATTTCCACATCGTTCAATATCAGCCTTGCCTCACTTCACCCGGGAGAACTGTTTGAATTGCCATCGTCCCTTGAAAAAGAATTCTAGTTTGACGCTTGGAGAGAAATAGGGGGGAACAAAGAATTTAACTGAAGACTATCTAATTTTTATGAAAAGCATTCTGATCAAATAGTTCTGCAATGCAGCCTGCTATCAAATTGCATTGATAATGCCTGTGGAATATCTTACAATGTTTTATTGCAATAACGGTGCTATATTAGTGCACATTGTTGACTGGTCATCAGATTCTGACATTTCCTGTTCACACCTGCAAAACGTAAGGTTTCCAAATGGTCCTTAATGGCACTGCTTGACACTGTAATGCAACAACCCTTCTCCTCTAATCAGCGCAGTCCAAAAAAGGAAACTTTGATTGTATTTTAAAGACTGAGTGCATTGGCATTGGCTTTTTCTAACCAATCAATGTCATGGCATAGTATTCTCATGCTTTCACTGAATCTACTGCCTTTTATTCTTGCAGATTTTGACTTTCTGTCAATGAAACAAAGCACTTGTTTACTGTTCTCTCATTATAAATCTTACAGACGCTCAATTTGTTTCCAGCACCTGTGTCAATGGATTGAAAGCCTGGCCTGAGTGAGGAAAGGAGAAAGAGTCTGAGAAAGTTCCTCGTTATCCATCAGATTGTTGCAATAATTCTGCCAGATGTGCTGTTTAACAGCCATGCCACTGAGACAGTTTCTGGCCTGTGATTTCAGTTTCACTCCTCTTTCTCTCCTGTTTCAGAATGGTAGAAGTGTTCAGCCCAATGAAACTTGGCATCTTGAGTGTCTCATTAAGTTTGAGCACACAGAAGCCTACGCAGCTCGACATTTCTATGGGAAATGCCCCGCAGTGCTACCTCAGAGTAGCTGGTGAAGGTGAAATTGAATAAGCTGTCACCCAAACAGGAGCAAAAGCTCTGGGACACAATAAACGTCTGAGTTCCATACCATATTCATTGGGTAACCGGGTAAACTCCTGTGTTACATACCCGTTACTGTAACAATGGTATCCCTAACTGCTCCTCATATTGAAATGGTTATGCTGAATTTTGAAAATGAAGAGAAAAAAAGAATTGTATTTATATACTGCCTTTTATGATCACCAGCTGTTTCAAAGCACTTCATAGTGAATTAGCATGTAATGTCAGAAAAGTAGCAGCCATTTTGCACACACTGAATCCCTCTACACAGCAATGTGATCAATGCCAGATATTCTGTGTTTGTGGCGGACAGTTCCAGATTTTCAGCATCCGCAGTATTTTGCTTTTATCTGTTTTTCGGGGGTTTGATTGAGAGGCAAGGGCAGATCAGACACCAGAAATAATGCCTCACAACCTCTTCGTAATACTGCGGTCTTGTACGTCTACCTGAGAGCTCAGACAGGGCCTCAGTTTAATGGCTCATGTGAAAGTCAGTTGCTCTGACAGTGCAGAACTTTCTCACGGGACTGTCAGCCTGAAGGTTTGAACTCCAGTCCTGGAGTGGGGATTCAACCTACAAGCTTCGGACTCAGGTGAAAGTGCTTCCCTTTGATCCGTCGCTTTTTTACTGACCGGAGCCTTGTCATGTCAGATGGCTGGAAAAGAAGGCTCACCCCTGTATTTTACATTATATTTTATTTTTCCTGTCCTGAAATTAGGAACGTTGTATTCTTATAGTATTCAGACAGAGCTCCGTCAAAGAAGCATTTCCTTGTACGAGTGCAGCACCCCGTCCTTTCCCAAATCATGGGGAAATACTTGCGATCGCGTCAGTCTTTGGTTCAGATAACTTGGTGCTCCTCAGTTTGTTGAGAGCGAGCATGCATATATGGGACTCGTGAGCTAGCGCAAGCCATTTGGCATTTCAAATGGCCCTGCTCCCACAATTCAATAAGATCACGGCTGATCTAGTTTCGATCTCAAATCCACTTCCCCAGCTACCCCTCCCAGCTCCCCACTCACCCATTACCCTTGACTCCCTTCTCTGTCAGAAGTCAGTATGACTCGGCCTTGAACAAATTCATTGACCAAGCCTCTGCTGCTTCCTGAAAGAATTCTGCATCCTTCCCACTCTCTGAGAGAAAACAAGATCTTTTAAAATCTCTAGCTTAAAAGGGGCTCTGCTTATTCATGAAGGGGCAGCATGGTGGCTCAGTGGTTAGCACTGCTGCCTCACAGCACCAGGGACCTGGGTTCGATTCCACCCTCGGGTGACAGTCTGTGTGGAGTTTGCGCATTCTCCCTGTGTCTGCGTGGGTTTTCTCCAGGTGCTCCAGTTTCCTCCCACAGTCCAAAATTGTGAAATCTAGGTGGATTGGCAGTGCTAAATTGTTCATACTGTCCGAGGACGTGCGGGCTATGTGGATTAGTCATGGGAAATGCAGGGTTACAAGGATTAAGGGGGTTGGGCCCAGGGTGGGGTGCTCTTCAGAAGGTCAGTGTGGACTCGATGGGCTGAATGGCCTGCTTCAACACTATAGAGATTCTGTAATTAACTCACGTCATCCCACAAGAAGAAACATCCTCCCCCTCCAGCCGATGAAGTCTCCTCATTGGCTTTGTGTTTCAGCAAGATCACTTTTCATTTTTCTAAATTCCAATGGATA